CCCGCGGCCCTCCGGTCCCGTCGCCCGCGGCCCCGCGATCCCGTCGCCCTGGGGAGCCGCACGCGACCCCCCGCGGCCCCGTTTTCCCGTCGTGCCGCCCTGGGGAGCCGCGCGCGACCCCCCGCGGCCCCGATTTCCCGTCGTGCCGCCCTGGGGAGCCGCGCGCGACCCCCCGCGGCCCCGATTTCCCGTCGTGCCGCCCTGGGGAGCCGCGCGCGACCCCCCGCGGCCCCGATTTCCCGTCGTGCCGCCCTGGGGAGCCGCGCGCGACCCCCCCGCGGCCCCGATTTCCCGTCGCGCCGCCCTGGGGAGCCGCGCGCGGCCCCTCTCTGCCCCGTGGTCGCGTTCTGGGGGCCGAGCGCCGTCCCCCTCGCCGTCCCCCGCGCTCCTTCCCCCGTTCCGCCCGTTTTTAGGGTTTTGGGGTGCGGAGTGTGGGGGTGGCAGCTCTGGGGGTGCCGTGTGTGTGCGCCGTCCCCTGCTCCTCCTCCTCCTCCGTCTCCCACTGCTGCAGCTGCCGCTGAGGGGGGTGGATGTGTGGGAGCCGAGGTTTAGGGTTTAAGGGGGGTGCCGTGGAAGTGGAGCTAGGGTGTCAGCAGGGGGTGTGTGAGAGGGGCGTGGGACGGTCGGGGGAGGTTGAGCGGAGGCTGCCGTCTTGTCGTCAGCAGCACCTGTAGTCCGGGGCGCTGTTCCGGTAGCCCAGTCGTAGCCAGCTGCGCCAGTCGCCCGTGGGTCCGTTGCTCGTCTGCCGCTCTTCTTAGCCGCGGAGCCAGTTACTCCTGTAGTCCGGGGCGCTGTTCCGGTAGCCACTGTGCCAGTTTGACTCCTGTTGCCCGTGTGTCTGCAGCTTCAGCCGTCGCCTCTCATCTTCTCTCCTTCCACAGTTCCTCCTCCTCCTCACTTGCCCTTTGTGAATGCCTCTAGCTTTGCTTGCACTTGTGAACCTGCTTTCTACCTGCTTGCTCATTGTACTGATTACACCCCACTTTGGCTATGGGGGTGTGTCAGAATGTTATTCTCTAGCCTGTAGTGGGGTGCTCTATAGCGAGTACAACCCATCTAGGGTTTGCTATATGTATCCTCATTGCTGCTAGTGAACCCCCTCTTTGCCTAAACTTTCTCTTGCCTAGCTAGGGTTCTCCTAGCTATGGCTCCTGCTTATGCTTACTCTCTTGACAGTACGAGTGTACGCCCTCGGCACTCACCATGTGCCCGAGAAACTGCACCTTCTTCGGAGCGAAGTCGCTCTTCGACAACTTCACATAGAACGTATTCTCCCGCAGGATCTCGAAGACTTTCCGCAGATGCTCCACGTGCTCCATGTTTTTCGAGTAGATGAGAATGTTGTCCAGATATACTAGGACGCATTTGTATAACAGAGGTCGTAGGATGTGATTCATCTCCGCCTGGAACATTGCTGGTGCGTTGCAAAGTCCTAACGGCATCACTAAGTATTTGTAGGAGCCACATCTGGTATGGAACGCCGTCTTGTGGATCGAGTTGTCTGCCATCTTGATCTGCCAGTAACCCGACCGTAGGTCCAGCTTCGAAAAGACTATTGCACACGCAGTTGATCTAGAAGATCATCTATTCGCAGTATGGGATATTTGTTGTTTACTCTCTATTTGTTGGGTGCGTGGTAATCAATGCACATCCATAAACTATTGTCCGGTTTTGGAGTGAAGAGAATTGGTGCACCGTAGGGAGAGGTGGATGGACGGATCAGTTGCGTATCCAGTAGATACTCTATCTGTTTCTTCATGTCTGTCAGACTCAGTCGGTATGGTCGACAGGAGGCGGGCTTTTGCACCTGGTCCCTCTACGATGTCATGCTCGTGGGCTTGTGGTAGAGGTACTCCTGCAGGTAGGTCGTCTGGCATGATATCTTTGTACTGCTCCATCACCTCCTTTACTACTGCTGCCATAACTAGTGCTAAGTAACCTATGTTAACTCTCGTTTACCGTCTGTTCGAACCGTGCCAGTGTCGTTTCAGGAACGTCCCCTGTATCCGTCCAGCTTCACAGCTCCACACGTTTTCCATTGTTGTAGATGGATGCTTTCCTGTTAACCCAGTCGATCTCAGGGTTGCTTTCCTGTTAACCCAGTCGATCTCGGGGTTGAACCGCTTCAAGAAATCTCGCCCCAAGATGAAATCTAACCCTTTGATGTTCGTGATCACCAACGTTGGCTTCCATCTCAACACACCTATGCGCAGCTGCAGTGATTCTTCGCCGTGGATGGGAAGTTTTGTACCGTCCACCATCGTTGTCGTGAACCGGGCCTCCTCTAAAGGTTCTCCAGTTTTCTCCAACTTCCCACGGTCGCACACCGAGTGGGACGCACCACTGTCCACAAGTGCCTGGATGCATCGTACTTTGCATAACACCTCAAGAAGTAGTGGTTTTTGCTGCTCTGAGTAGCTTAAGATGGTCTCATTCATAAGATTATAAGGTACATCAAAGAAATTACCATCCCTATTTCCTATACCTAACTCAGCACTCTTAACTTCCAACTTCACTTGAGCATTAGGAGGATTTTTCCGTGGCTTGTAAAACTTCTCTTGGGCCTAGAATTTTCCTCTAAGCCTTTACAGCTATGTAGGCATCACCTGTTAGTAATGGGGAGCCTTAAGACGGTGCTGCAAGGAGAGAAAATTACACTGAACGAAAAAAATGTCCACATGCTCATGTTTTAAAACAAGAATGTGCATTTGGCGCTATAAGGATTAAGCCTTAATAAAAGGGTGCCATAAGGTTATAGCGTGGCAGGTTATACTTTGTCTGATGTGGGTTCATGGTCTTTAACACAGTTGAACAATCAGCGGATACTGAAATAAGCACATACTACCATATGGACAATTTTTTACAAATACAGTTTCACAGTCATACCAATCAGAATCTAGTACTTGGTCCAGCGACCCTTGGCCTTGAGCACAGCCTGCACACGCCTAGGCATGCTGTCAATCAGCTCATTGCACTGGGTCACAGGGATTTTCTCCCATTCCGCTTGAACTTTGTCCCATAGCTCGAGAATGCCTGCAGGGGGGCGGGGGTAAGCAAGCAGCTGCTTCTTCAAGTAAACCCATAGATGTTCTATGAGGTTGAGGTCCGGACTAGATGCTGGTGATGGTAGAACCGAGTATGGCTACTCGGCTAGGTAAGTTTTCACCATTTTGCACGTATGCTTGGGGTCGTTATCATGCTGGAAAACTACTGCCTCAGGATCCAACTCGTAATGCTCGATAGTCTGCTGCAGTTCGTCCTGAAGGATTGAACGGTATAACTCCCCGTTCATCCTCCCCTCTACCTTACACAAAAAACCTGCTCCCTGGTATGTCATGCACCCCCAAATCATGATGGAGCCGCCACCATGTTTGACGGTCTGTTTCACATGGTGCGGCTCCATGTGACAGTCCCCGCGAATCCAGGCCCAACTACGCCCATCGCTACTAAACCGATATATCTTCGTTTCATCACTCCAAATCACCCGTTTCTAGTCGTCAACAGTCCAGCTCTGATGATCCTTGGCCCACTGCCGGCGGTCCTTTACTGTTTTCTCATATAAACGTGGCTTAAACGGTTTCTCTATCGCTTTAACGCTGTGCTGCTTGAGAGTATTTCGAATGGTGGTGCCAGTGATGCTAATTCTGTGCGTCGAAGCTAGCATTCCTACTGCAGCCTCGGCGGATTTCGATTCACCAGAAACTATCGATCTAACGACAATCAGTGCGATTTGCTCTGGTAGCTTGCGCGGTCGACCTGGTTTTGCCAAGGAAGGCACTAATTCCTCGTACGTTTTCGGACCAAGGTGGCGGAGGAGCTCGTCATGGACAGCGGTTTTCGAAACGCTCAACTCTTTAGCGATTTGGTGGTAACTAAGCCCCTCGGCAATAAGCTGCATGATCTACTTCTGTTTCTCCTCACTAAGGTTCTTCATGATGCAGGGGTATTAGCGCTATGCATAGAGCGTCAACGAAGCTCGCAATGTCCTCCTTACCTAACTAGACTAGATCTAGCTACTACCGAAATGACGCGCGGGTCATTTCGCAACTAAATGTCCGTTAGAGCGAGAGCGGAACTAGGGGCTATTGGTTACCAGATGATCTGTTCGTCACGTGGCGTCGTGTTTCGGGTTGACCGCGCGTCAACGCGTTGTATCGTTCTGCTACACGTACCATGTCCCGATAGCTATGTCACCGAATCTAATGGTAAGTGCATTACTGCATATTCAGGAACTATGCTCATTGAGGTGTAGAAGTGTTGTAGCGACTATTATTCAGTCTATAAGGGAGGTAGGTGGGTATTGGGAGAAGTGAAGGGTTGGTAACATTGGGGGTAGCAGGGTGCTATGGGTGCAATTCCAGGGACATTGGGAGACAGGAAATCTGGCGAGGGCCAATCCAAGGCCCAGGCGGCTCGGGCTCAATCCATCACGCAGAAAATTGCACGACTGGGTAGCCAGGCACGAGTAGCCTAGCCTAGCAATGCTCTCCTGTTCTCTCGACTTGTTTACCTATCATAGCGGATTTCTGTTACCGTACTCAAGCTATCGCAGCTAGGTGACTAAGCCACTCCAGGTAGCCATCCTGTGGGAGCTCGGGACTCTCCCAAGTCGAGAGAAGAATACCGGCGATATGCATCTCCATGAGCTGCGCGCGCAGCGCTGTACTCGCGGCGGGAACGCTCTCCGTCATGTGGGAGGCGCTCAAGGGAGCGAGGAAGGTCGTCGACGCGATCGTCACGAAGGGCAGCGTATCACGCGGATCTGGTGACGCCAACTGGCATGCGTGGAGAAGGAAGCGGGGAGGATCTGCGCGTCAGATCGGAGCCTTGGAGGCGACCCGCTACCAGCAATATGTGGAGTCTGGCAGACGGCCAGCGCAAAGTGGAGGAAAGGTGTCGCGATGACGACGTGGATATGGATTCAGCGAGTGAGCCGTGTGACGAGGAAGAAGGGGAAGAGCCCGCGCCTGCTCAAGGCCCCGGAACATGCGGCGTCAGCAATGGTGATGGATCCCCCACTGCGCGGGGTGGCGGAAGGCGCGGCGTCACTGATGAGGACGGATCCTCTACTGCGCGGGGCAGCGGAAGGCACTGTGTCGCCGACGACGATGGATCCCCCTCTGCGCGGGGCGACAAAAGGCGCGGCGTCGCCGACGATGACGGATCCCCGTCTGCGTGGGGCGGCGGAAGGCGCGGCGTCGTCGACGATGATGGATCCCCCGCTGCGAGGGGCGGCGGAAGGTGTGGCGTCGCCGATGAGGACGGATCCCCCACCGCGCGGGGCAGCGGAAGGTGCGGCGTCGCCGATGATGATGGATCCCCCACTGCGCGGGGTGGCGGAAGGCACGGCGTCGCCGACGATGACGGATCCCCCACTGCGCGAGGCGGCGGAAGGCGCGGCGTCGCCGACGATGACGGATCCCCCACTGCGTGGGGCAGCGGAAGGCGTGGCGTTGCTGACGATGACGGATCCCCCACTGCATGGTGCGGCGGAAGGCGCGGAGTCACCGAGGATAACGGATCCTTCACTGCGTGGGGCGGCAAAAGGCGCGGCGTCATCGATGGAGAGAAGTCCACAGCTGTGCGGGAAATAAGACGGCAAGAGGTCGATGAGAAGGATGAAGAAGAGCGTATACGATGCGGGAAGGCGCGGGAAGATAGAGAAGACTATGCGGATGGGGAACACTTACCTGCAGAACAGCGTGGAGAAGTATATGGAGACAGCGGCAGAGGAGCTGAGCGCCGATCGGGGGTGCGCCAGGAAAGCAAGAGAGGGCAAGGGGGCCCAGTCGGCGCCTTTCGCTCACCTGAGCCAAGGGCAGGGCATGACCGCAGATGACGCATGGCGATGGGCGACGGTTGGCGGTCAGAAAGGGAGAATCGAGAAGAGAAGCCGGATAATGTGGGGTGGCACCAGCGACGCCAGCCCGTGTGGGAGAGGCAATACGTGGGAGAACGTCATACGGGTAAGGGTGGGTGGTCGCCATACGGTTCAAGGGCAAAAGAAGGAGGTTGGCAGCAAGGAAAGAGAGAGCAGCATCCACGGGAGCGGTCACCTGCGAGGAAAGAGAGAAGTTGGGGAGATCAAGAAAGACGTAGGGAGGATCGCGGAGATGAACGCAGGAGGAGCCCGAGCCCAATCGGAACCAGAAGGCCACCGCAACGAGGGATCGAGTGCAACTAGAGCGACGCGTGAAGGGTTAGAAAGAGTGCTGTATGGGACCAGCGCGGGGAGCAGAGGAGACAAAGGGAAGCTGAGAAGAGATGCTATGTCAGATCGAGGGGGCTCTGAAGACTGGGATATGGGGAGGTGGGGTGCAACGGCGCAGCCACGAGTGGAAGTGCCCGTGCGCTTCACGGGGAATGAAGGCACAGGCCCGAACCTCAATAAATATTTATGCAGATAAGCGCCGTCAAGTACAGATGTGATCGGCCCTATTGACTTCTTAAGCTTGCCGAACATCCTGGGAGGAGAGGCAAAAACCCTGTACCGCATGAAGATGGGTGAGTGGCTGAGAAGGGCAAATGAGGATGGTGAGGACCCGACAGTACTGTTCCTGGAGCGCCTAAGGAAGCAGTTCCCTGGGCATACAGCATTGCGCATCCGGGAATTCCAAGAGTTTAAGCACCGGGATGAGGAGTCGCTGCTGACATACTTCGGGCGACTGATGAATGGTGGAAGACGTGGTGTGCACGGATAGTAGCATGATCATTAGTAAGTTTTTGAATGGGTTAGACAAGGGACTAGCAGGAGGGCTGAGAATGAGAGTGTATAAGCTAGGGGCGGATGCATCACCGGAAGAAGTGTTCAAGCTAGCGGAAAGGGTAGAGCTGGCGCAGAGGAAGTACAAGGTGTACCTGCCAAGGGCGATAGAGAGGAAGAATCCCGCTTGGGCAGCAGCGATGGAGCCTGAGATGGGGGGAAGGGAGGAAGGACGACCGGAAAGAGGAGCTGAGACATGCACCTGCCACCGGTGCAAGCAGCCGGGACACCTGATGAGGAATTGCAGGAACTGCGACACCTGCGGGAAGACGGGACACCGACGGAAGGATTGCCCAGATGCACCGACCTGCGAATTGAGTGGGGGCATAGAGGCAAAGAGTGTTACCAGCGCGCGGGAGGACTGCGAAGGGCACCGAAGGAAATAAAAGGTCAATTAGGCAGGTTTCAGGCGCAACTGTAGGCACTGGGCGGAAAGCCAGAGAAAGAAGCAGGGCTGTATGCGAGGGAAGACGACAACGAGGCGGAAGTGATAGACGAGCCAGATCCAGAGTATCAGTTCATTGTGCTGCGCAGTAGGGACGACATTGGCCTGCGTAGTGGGGGCAGGAATGGACGGAAGGAACACGTGGTGAAGGAGAAGAGGCGTCCAGCGAGCAACAAAGAGGAGCAGCAGGACAAAATAAATGAGCCTAGCCGCCACCCAAAAGACAGACTGGCAAGTCAGGCCACGGTGTTAATGGTGGAGCCAGGAGCAGTGATGGTGGGAGGAGAGAAAGCCAAAACAACGATACTGGACACAGGAGCACTGAGCGTAATGCTGGGAAAGTGGATGGCACAGAAGTTAGGACTGACAGGACCAAGACAAAGCGTGAAGAAAGGGATGTTGGAGATGACGGCAGAAGGAGGCGAGCCTAAGTGGTTACCCTGCACGAGAACACCCATAGAAGTGACACTCTTGCTGGAGCAGGAAGGGAAGACTTGCCTCCAAGTGCAATGCGGTATATCGGAGTTGGAAGACTTCGATGTGCTGCTGGGGATGGATCTGATATGGGGCGTGGGCATGACCATTTGCACATGGAAGGGGTGGGTGCAAATCCGGAAGCAGTACTGGATAAAGAATAGTGAGGTGAGGGAGCTGCCAGTGCAGTTTTTGAGACAGGAAACCAAGAGGGCGTACGTGGTAGGCGAGGCAGGGAGAAAGGATGCGGGAAGAGCGGGACTGATCGGTAAGGCAGTGGCGGTAGGCGGATGGCAAGAACCAATACAGCTAGTAGAACTGTTCAGAGGCATCGGTGCAGGCCTGGCAACAGTAGTGAAGGCAGGGATAGCGGTGAAAGAGTGGGTCTACGTGGAGAAAAACGAGAAGGCAATGAAGATGGCAGAACACCACTCCCGATTGCTCCAGAAGGAGAATCCCGAGCTGCTTGAAGAGGTGATAGACAGAGCAATGGGGAGGACAATGAAGGATGTGAGGGTGATCACGCCAGAAGTGGTCAGAGATTGGGGATAGGTGGACCTGCTGGTGGCGGGATGGGAGTGCCAAGGGGTGTCAAGGGCCGGAAAGGGAAGGGGGATGGAGGACCCCCTAGGAGCAATGCTGCTGGATTTACTGCGCGTCATGGATTGGATTAAGGAGAGGCAGGAGAAATTGATATACTTGCTGGAGCACCTGGACTTGGAGGGAGATTGCAGAGAGCCTGTGAGGAAAGTGAGGGATCTGGTAAAGCAGAAACTGGGGAAGGGGGTTAGATGCAATGCCGCGAGGCTGGGGGCAGGTGCGCACAGAGTAAGAAGGTACTGGTAGAACCTTGTGTCAGAGGCGCAGCTGCAGGAAGAGTTGGACGGGATAAGGAGGGACTGGAGCAGAAAGGTGAGGGATATCTTGGAGCCAGGCAGGACGGCAGCACCAGTGAAGAAAGGAAGATATAAGACACAATGTCCCTGCAACAAGGTGGGGGCAGAGCGCAGAGCATGGCCTACGCTAGTGGCCTACGAAAGGACAGCGAGATTTAGGATGGAAGATAGGGAGCCAGGGGAGGGGATGGTGTATGACCACAAGAAGCAACAGTGGGAAGAATCGACGGCGCTGGAGTAGGAGCTGGCAATGGGTATGAGGAAAACGCAACGAAGGCGAGCGGGGTGACAGAGCAAGACAGGAGGCGAGCACTCGGGCAGGCGATGGATGGTCAGGTAATGAGGTGGTTCGTGCGAAGGATGTGGAGGGAGTTAATAATGGAAGCTGAACCAGTTGGGGAGGAGCAGGTGCGAGAGATGAAGAATGTGGGGGCATGGGCTAGTATACCCATGAAGGATGAGGCAGAATGGGTGATAGGAGACACCATGGGAAGGGAAGCGAAGGAGGCCCTGTAGGCAGTGCTAGCCAAGTTCAGGCATGCATTTGCCTTTACACTGCAGGAGTTGGGGAAATGTAAGGTGAAAGAGATGGAATTGAAACTGACCATAGATGAGCCATTGTTCCAGAGGAAGAGTCGGATGGCCCCGGAAGATGAGAATGTCTGTAAGGAGAAGTGCAAGGAGCTGCTAGAGGCAGGCCTGATCCAGAGGTCGGAATCAGAGTACGCCACACCCACAGTGATAGCCGCAAGGAAGGATCTGACGGGGGAGGTGCTGAGCAGGCGCTTGTGTGGGGACTACCGAGCGTTGAACAAGCTGACTGTTCCAGAAAGGTACCCTATGCTAACAGCAGAAGAGATTTTTGACAAACTAGAGGGGGAGATATTTAGCACGCTAGACCTCCGCCAGGCCTTCAATCAGATCAGGATCAAGAAGGAAGATGTGCGTAAGACAGCGTTTCATGGGCGGATGGTCTGTATGAGTGGCTGTTCATGCCATTCGGGCTGCGTAACGCTTCAGCTATATTTCAACGGGTGATGGATAGTGTGCTGCGGGGGCTGGAGTGTGCGGCGTGTTACATAGATGACGTGGTCATCTTCAGCAAAATAGAGCAGGAGCATGTGCGAGATGTGGAACGTACCTTGGAGGCGTTGGCAGCGGCAGGACTGACCTGCCACCCAAAGAAGTGCCGGTGGGGGGAGGCGACCGTGCAATAACTGGGGTATGAGGTGAGGGGAGGCCAGATGGGGATCCATAAGGCGAAAGTAGTAGTGCTGGACCGACTGCAACAGCCTAAGAACAGGAGCGGACTGCGGGCAGTGCTGGGGTTTCTCAGCTGTTACTGACGCTTCGTGCCCAATTTCAGCAAGCGGGCAATGGCACTGAACGCCCTGCTGAAGCAGGAAAAGAAGTGGGAGTGGGGGGCAGAGCAGGAAAGGGCGTTGAGGGACTTAACGGAGGTAGTACAGACAGCGACAGTGCTGCAACTGCCACAGGCGGACAAGCCCTTTGCCTTGTACACCGATTGGAGCAGCCAAGGGATGGATGCAATCCTCTGCCAGGAACTAGACGGGGAGGAGAGAGTAGTGGCATATGCGAGTAGGAGCTGCAACCCGGCGGAAGCAAAGTACAGCTCTTACCACGGGGAAGGGCTGGCGGCCGTATGGGCAGTGAAGCACTTTCGTGTGTATCTGCAGGGCAGGGAATTCACCTTAATCACAGACCATCAACCGTTGCAGTGGTTGATGACGCACCAGGGGCTGACGGGGAGAAACGCGCGCTGGGTGGTCACACTGCAGGAATATGACTTCAAGATACGGCACAGGCCAGGGAAGACACTACATGTTGCTGGCCAAGCAAGGGGAGATGGCTGCAGCAGGGAAGCAGAGGGGACCACAAGACATATGGGAGGATCCAGTGGTGCTGCGGTGGATCAGAGGGGAGAATAAGGCCAATGAGCAAGTGTCAGACAGGGTAAGGGCGAGAGGACACCACTACTGATGGTACCAGGGACAG